ATGCGACGGCGTTCATTGTGTACAAACTTGATGAAGTGGCTTGTAAGTGACTTGCCTTTGGTATTGGATTTTCAAGACGTAGCTGTAGTGAAGTTAACAAAAATTAAAGGCTCCTTGTGGGGAATTCGTGAGACACAGCGCTTATGTGCTCTAGTGATTTTTTAGTCCCTAACTGGTAGACAGACCTTAAAAGTCTGGGGATGAAGCCAACTGAGGCTTGTTTTAGTCCGCCTGTATAAATAAATTTGAATTTTGTACCCGATATCGGTGGAGTGGCAACAGACAATCTGTCACTGTATACCAAGAAAACGCGTTTTTGGTGTACATCACGTGTATCCAACTACACGTATTTGAAAGTGTGTGTTTGGGGACCCTCTCTTGTTTAAGGCGTTCTAGGCCTTTTCATCTATTTTGTCCTTTAGTACATTTCAAACTCAGGATTGCAGTTTTGAGCGCAATTTGATGGGCCCCTGTTATTTAGGTGCAACAAGAATATTACTTTCGTGTCTCACTGAAATTGTTTTGAGACCATTCACGTGCTCGTTGTTGTGGGTAATAGGATTCGGAATTTATATCCAAATCGGTTTGCAACCGCCTTCGTGTTTATAGCACAAACTTGAAGCAGAACCTTAGTCTCGAACATCAGCTGAAATTTGATTCGTGTATTTGAAAGTCTACGAATATGTAAGATGGCAGCGAAGGGTCTCAGAGAAATTTGTACACGAAATGCCGGGTTTTGATATGAGGTAATTTGATGTTATTAGGGTTGTTGAACCTAAGAGGAAAAGATGTTCCATCTAACCCTTTCTTCTTCGCGTTCGTCATCGTCACCAAGGACAAAGTCAAGTAAGTCCGAGGCTGGAAAATATCAATTGAACATTCGACTGCAACTGTTGTCGTAAAGTATTGTGCAATTTCTGAAATTTACAGGTAGGTTCTTCATAGAGCTTTACCCACAAGCAATTTAAACAAATATGTCCTAGAATTAGTGAAACGTGGGGAAGGAAATTGATTCCCTGAAAGGTTATGGAGAGATTGTTGGTTACTTAAGATAAAAGTACCTATAAGTCCTGGAGAATTTGGCTTCTCCTTATCGTCTTCTCCGCAAAAAGCGTCGTTGATCGATGAAATTCTTCGTATCAAAATACACTGGAACCCATTTTAGCTTTCTTATCAGGATTTCTCTGGTTTATTCTTGTCAACAGTACCTTAGCGAAGTGTTACAAAACGTTGCCAAGTGAAACGAGTGTTTTTTCTTGTACAGAGTTTATGTTGAAGACTCCAAGTTAACCAAGGACGTTAGAGAACATTTAGACAAAGTTGAGTTACGTCCTTATAACACATCCGTTCTGATTGCTGACATTAAAGCAGAAGCAACTAAAGCCAACGCAAAAATATGGGTAAGTTAAGGCGGTCGTTATTTCTTCTGGGTTTTACTCTTCACAGTACTTGGTTGTGTTATGGAAAAGCATTGTTCTATTTTTTTAACTAGAGACTGATTAAACAATTAGCTTATTCACTCTAGATTTCTACGTAAGTTAGTTGATGGGGGCAAAACCCTCGACGACGGCAGAAACCCTAAGCTCATAATTTTTTTTGTTCAATAGATCATAACCGCTTTCCCAATGTCTTTTAAAATGATGCACACGTCACTGACGCTGCAATGAGACGTATCAGCGATGAGTTCTGTGTTATTGACGAGCAGTTCATGTACTCTGATTTCAGAGTAACATTTCATTGACCTAAGACAGCTGTTTATATCACCAATGTGGCGTGGCCTTTTACTATTTTAATCTCTCGATTTTGTGGTAAAAATGGGAGCAACTACAGAATACAGAGCCATTGAGGTCCACCTTGTCGGCNAAAACTCCGAGTTTCAAGGAAGTTGATCCCATGAACATTAAGCTAGCTGTGATGGTTGCGAAAGTTTGAAATCCGTGATTAAGGCAATCCAAATTGAAATTCAATCTCCCATGATAACTTTTGACGGCATAAAGAAGAAAGAAGACGTGAAACACGACTATGGCGAAACCAGAGAGGCGATTCTTCGGTGGATGGCGCATATAGTCAGGACAAAGAATCAAGAGAGAGCAAAACAGAATTTGCTCACGTCCCCCCAAACAAATACCTCCCTCATCGTCGTGGACCGGGCCATGAAATTCAACCATCTGAAATACAGTGAAAAGCAGTCTGAATGGTTCGGAAAGAGAGGAATAAACTGGCATGTCAGTTCAGTTATTATGAGGAATGCAGAGGAAAACGGCCTTAAGATTATGTCATATGTTTATCTTTTTGAAAGCTGTGCCCAAGACTGGTAAGCGGTTTACGCAATTCTGGAAAACCTCGGTAACATCAAACAGATCAAGTCTACCGTAAACAGGCTATTTTTGCGATCAGATGGCGCAGACTGTTACCACAGCAACAATCTAATTGCAGCTGCCTCTAACGTTGGTTCACGCACTGGAATCAAGGTGATGAGGTAAGGTGAGAATGCTTTTTTTATTACAACGCCAAAACATGCGAATTCTTAGTTTAATCAACTTTAGAACTTTTAAGTTAAAACTTTGTTGCTGTTTCTGTCCATTATAGTAACTGATATTTCAAAGCCAATTCAAACACTGTTGATCAAAATCTTTTGATGATACACCGCAGGAACGTAATTATCCTCTCCACCCTTAAAACGTCGCATACCGCCGACCCCTCTGCTTTAAGGCGGATTAAGACACATTTTAATTGAAACCGCTATAGTTCACATGCTATTGCTAGAAGTACAGTACGTGTAGGGAATGTATGCTTGCTTTCTCAAAGGACATCCTGGGAGAATTCAACTGAGTAGGTATTCATTTACTGCGGAGTTTTCCTTTTGTTTCCTTTTCTTTAGAATCTTTTACAGTATAATTTTCATACTAACATTTTCATGGTGAGCAGAATGTGGTATGGTAATAGACGCAGCAGCATGCACAAAGCCTACCTAGCAACTTCTGTATTAGTATGACAGGTATTGATGGATCAGTTATTCTAACCGAGATACTTCCTTTTCTTATTCTCAAGGTTCTTATTCTCAAGGTTCTTATTCTCAAGGTTCTTATTCTCAAGGTTTCGACGATCTCGCAAGGTTGTTTGGGATTGCATCATCAATCCAATGAAAGAGGCAATTCATAGTTATTTGCAGTGAAGGCCATAACATTTTGACGGTAGCTGACATGCACGAGGTATTAAAAGTGAGACAAGAGGAGGGATTGTCAGCTGCTCTTTGCGAAATTGCCGGATAGTGATAGAAAGAAAGTCAAAATTAAGTACATCAATAATTTCAGCTTTTTCCACAATTTTGCCAATGAAAGGGATGATCTTCGTGTCTCAAAAGCCTATGAAGTTGGCAAGGGCAAATTAATACCATGCTCAGCCGGAGTTCATTCTTGAGAAGCAAGGCCCCGTTGTATTCAGAGAAGTTGAGAATTATGGTTTCTTCTCCAGAGGTCCGCGGGTCATAAAACAGAATCGCAATCATAGTTTTAGCGATAATTAAGAGGATAAGGACAAAGATACTGCTAAATATGAGTTCACTTCTTCAGAAAAACTCCAAGATCATGTACACCTTGGGGAGCACAGCAAGAGAGAAGCATCAGAGAGCCTTTTCGATGGCCTTAGACGTGACTGGACAATGAAATTTTTCTCCCTAACTCTTGAATCAAAGATAACAAGACCCGAAGTGACGGGCGAAGTTGAAGTGACTAAAGTGTGTTAGATGGGCTGGGCCCTTCAGAAACCGAAAGGCAGTGGAACACGATTTACCGAGAAAGTGAATGGGTATATATCAAGTAGTTTTCATACCCGTGGAAGAACAGGTAGAAAAGCCGATCCCACGCACGTTGCAGCAAAAATGAGAAGGGCGAGAGGCAGATGATACTTGAAAATTCACCAGAAATGAATGGCTAACGAAGAGC